TGTGACCTTAGATTGTCTATTTGTGCTCTTTCAGACTTTTTGATGTAGGCATTTAATGCTATGAGCTTTCCTCTTAGTATTGCTTTTGCTGTATTCCAGAGGTTTTGATGGGTTGTGTCGTTGATATTATTCAGTTCAAATAATTTAATTTCCATCTTGATTTCATTGTTGACCCAGTGATCATTCAGGAGCAGGTTATCTGATTTCCATGTATTTGGATGGTTTTGGGTGTTCCTTTTGGAGTTGATTTCCGGTCGTACTCCACTATGGTCTGAGAAAGTACTTAATATAATCTTGATTTTTTAAAAATTCGAGACTTGTTTGTGTTGTTTGCTTTTTAACTTAAGTTTCTATTTATATCTTATTGTATAGTCTGTGTCTTAACATTTTTATTGCTATTTTTGATTGACCTTTTAGTGTTTCTACTTAAGAGTAGTTTATATACCACAGTTAGTGTTATAATATTGTTTTTCTGTGCACTTACTGTTACCAGTGAGTTTTGTATCTTCACATGAATCCTTATTGCTCCTTAATATCTTTTTCTTTTTTTCTGATTGAAGTACCCCTTTAAGCATTTCTTGTAGGGCAGATCTAGTGTTGATAAAATCCCTCAGCTTTTGTTTGTCTGGAAAAGTCTTTCTCCTTTGTGTTTGAAGGATATTTTTACTTGGTATGTTATTCTAGGTCTATATAAACATATATTGGGTGTGTTATGTTTTTTTCCTTCAGCGCTTTAAATATGTCATGCTATTCTCTCCTGGGCTGTATGATTTCCACAGAAAAGTCTGCTGCCAGATGTATTGGAGCTCCATTCTATGTAGTTTTTCTCTTGCTGCTGTTAGGATCCTTTCTTTATCTTTGACCTTTGGGAATTTGATTATCAAATGCCTTGAAGTAGTTGTCTTTGGGTTAAATCTGCCATAACCACCTTAGACTTAGATATTGATATCTTTCTCTAGGTTTGGGAAGTTCTCTTATCTCTTTTTACCATGTGAACTTTCTACCATTATTTTTTTTGTGTACCTCGTCTATAATGACAGTGACACTCAGATTTGTTTGCCCTTTTGAGGCTATTTTCTAGATTTTGTAGACATGCTTCTTTGTTTTCTTTTGTCTCCTCTATGTATTTTCTTTTTTTTTTTTTTTTAGACGGGGTTTCACTCAT